TTCACGGGGTAATTGATCCTTGGCTGTAATCCAAGCTCCTTTATCTTACAGAGTATCATGTTCCAAACCCTACAGTCTTTTAATGCAGAAGCTGCAAGGTCCTTTGTAATCCTGACTGTAGTTCCTTGATATTTAAATTGTTTCTTTCTGGATGCTTGCAGTATTTTCTCTTTCATCTGGTAATTTTGGCATTTGTCTATTGTATCCCTTGGCATTTTTAATTTGGGATCTCTTTCAGGCAGTGAATGGTGGATTCTTTCTATGGTGATTTTACTTTCTGGTTCTAGGACTTCAGGGCAGTTTTCTTTTATGATTTCTTGATTACTGTCCAGGTTCTTTTTTTTTATATTATGATTTTCAGGTAGTCCAATAATTTTTAAATGTCTCTCCTGGATCAATTTTCCAGGTCAGTTGTTTTACCCATGAGGTATTTTACGTTTTCATCTATTTTTTCATTTTTTTGTTTGTTTGACTGATTCTTTTCTCTCTCATAGAGTCATTAGTTTCCATTTCTCCAATTCTAATTTTTAACACATTGTTTCCTTCTGTTAGTTATTGTACTTTCTTCTCCAATTGTATTTTTAAGGGATTTGTTTTCTTTGGTTAACTTTTTTTTCCAGTTGGCCAATTGTGGTTTTTTGGGACTTGTCTTCTTCAGTGTACTTTTTTTCCAGTTGTCCAATTGTATTTTTTAAGGACTGTTCTACCTCTCTCATCAGACTTTTAAAATCCTCCTTGAGCTCTTCTAAGAAGGCATTTTGGGCTTCAGACCAGTTCATATTCCACTTTGATGTTGCAGATATGGGTTTGTTGACAATGTTGTCCTCCTCAGAATTTCTGTCTTGATCTTCACTGTTCTCATAATATGAATCTATGGTATGTGTCTTTTTACTCATGGTGTTTCTTTATTCCCTGGCCTTTAAAGAGATTGAGCTCTCCTGCTGGGGAACAGAGGGCACTGTCCCAAGCTTCTTGTGTTGGGATCCTAGGTCTTGGTCACTGGCTTTGTGTGCTGGGGCCTCTTATGTTAGCAATTGGAGGCTGTAGGGGGTTCTGGCAGCTTACCTGGTGTTGGGCTGGAATCAGCAAGGCTGGAACTTTCAGGCAATTGTAGGTTGCCTGCTTTTCCTTTCCTAGCTTTCTTCAGCTCTTTTTCGATGGGTGCTGCAGGGTGTTTATCTGCCTAGGGTGCCTTGCAGTGCTGCCTCCCTTACTTCTGCTGAGGCACTGGGAGACTCCTTTGCTGTACAGTACTGAGGTACCTGGTGGTTTTCTGAGCTGGTTTCTGACAGCTTACCTGGTGTTGGGCTGGAATCAGCAAGGCTGGAGCTTTAGGGCAACTCTAGGTTGCTTTCTTCAGCTCCTTTCAGATGAATCCTGCAGGGTGTTAATTCACCTGGGGCCCTTTGTAGTGTTGCTTCCTTTATGTTTGCTGAGGCACTGGGAGACTGGTTTGTTGTAGAATGCCAAGGCACCAGGATCTCCTCTTGGTGTGCTAAAGTGGGGCTTTCCAATAGGTGACTCCCATCTGGTACTGTTCCCCTTCCCCCAGGGTAAGAGGGGGGCTACTGCACTGCTGCTCCCTGTCTTTCTTCTCGTTCAGTTGTTCCACCGTTTTTTCTGGGGTGATATTTTCTGGGTTTTCATAGGTTGATGGGGAGGGTGAGAGCAACTACCTTTTTACAATTCCATCTTGGCTGACGGAAGTGGAAGTCCTAAACCCACATTTTGCTTCAAATGAGGAATGTGGGCCCCAATTTCATCTCTTGTGGATGCCAAAGAAAATTCAGTTCATCTCCTCGTTTAATAGTTGCCAACTTTGGACAGGGCTAGGTGGGTTGCTTTCAGGGATGCCATTGAGGCCCAGGGGCTGCAAACACAGGAGCTGGAAGCACATAGCTGTGACAGGCAGGGATGACTCCTCTCTCCTCCCATCCTGCTTATGCCTTTGTCTGAAGATTCCAGAGATATTTGCAGATTGCAGGGGAGATCCTTGCTAGAAACAGGGGATTCAGGAGAATGAGAGCTACAGAATGAGGTACCCATATGTAAGGGATTCAATGGAGACCCAGAAGGAAGATTTCAGATGCATACTTCCACAGGTCTATCCAGGTAAGCCTTCAGCCAGGGCTGCTGCCAGGATTTGGTGTGTTTTACTTGGGAGGCCCCATGGTGGAGTGCAAGACCTGAGGTCAGGTCCTAACTCTGGCTTTCAATGGGTATGTGGCTCTGAGCACCTCAGTGAGCCTCTGTGGACCTTAGTTTCTTCCTCAGTAAAATGAGAATAACATTTGCATTGTCAGTGATACTAAGGCTAATAAGAAACCTTGAACATATGAGCACTTGCTTTGAACCTATGAGCTACAGGGAGAGTGTTAGGAAAGGAAGAAGGCAAAGCCAAGGTTCTTATAGGGCAAGCTAAGTTATAGGATAGAAAGGCCTTGGTTTCCCAGACCCTGACCCCAGCACACACATATGTGGCTCTAAAAGGAGGTTGACCCAACAATTGTTCCTAAAGGGCAGTCTCAACATCCTTCCATGGTCCTATGTGTATTGAGTGGCTACTAGCAAAGGCCAGGGAACTCCTTGATATGAATCCACCATAAGTGTGGGGAAAATCAACATCACAAAATCTGGGAGTTCTCTGGGTCCTCAGAGGTCAGCTGGTCTAACCAGTGATGTCAAACTCAAACAGAAATTTATTGTTGTTAGTATTCAGTCCTTTTCAATCATGTACAACACTTTGTGACCCCATTTGGGGTTTTCTTGCCAAAGACACTGGAACGCATTGCCATTTCCTTCTCCAGCTCATTTTACAGATGAGGGAACTGAGGCAAACAGGGTGAAGTGACTTGCCCAGAGTCACTCAGCTAGTAAGTGTCTGAGGCCAGATTTGAACACAGGAAGATGAGTCTTCCTGACTCTGATCTGTGTACTCTATCCACTGCACCACCTGGCTGCCCCCAAATAGGAATGGGAGCCACATATGTGTACTTAAGGATCACTGCAGGCCACATACTGCTTTAGTTTAAAATGAAATGTTATCTGCTTCATTGTACTGTCATGTCTTTGTTAAATATCTCCCAAAGACACTTTAACCTGCTTCCAAAGCATTGCAGCACACTGTAGCCAGGCAGCAGGCTGGGTATTTGAGGCCTCTGGTCAAACCTATCCCTGCATGGAATCCACACTCTAACAAAGCCCACAAGGATTGGTCACTCAGTCCCTCCAAGGCCAAGCCTCCTTGAGCAGCCCCTCCTGCTTATGGACACCTGTGATGGTTAAGAGGGGGATTTGGAAAGCTGGACTCTGAGGGTCACAGAGTTTGAAGACCAGGATCAGAAAAGCAGCTCCAGTTCTATGAGAGATGTTTCATATTTCAGTGAACTAATTATTCATCAGGAATATAAAAGCAGTATTTTTGTGCTGCTTCTTGTAAGCCATGTGGGGACAGGAAGTCTCATGAGAAAAGACAAGTCCTCCATGTATAATCCTCCACGACTGGATGACCAAGGCAAGAGGAGGCTTCTGGGCTCAGAGAGGAAGACAGTTCAACTTCCTTGTTCTTTCCCTATTTCAACCTCAGGGTCCCCAAATACTTTCTGGCCATGAGATAAGACGGCTTACAGCCCAGGGGAGATTGTTCACTCACTTATTACCACAAAATCCCTGGCCTTCTTGGGAGAAGATGCTCAGAGAGAGGCCTCCAACCTTCTGGGACAAAAAACATTTGCTAGCTATTCAGTGTGGTATGAGCAGTCCAACATGATCCAGGATCTGACTTTAATTATCACGTATCATCTAGGAGACAGTAGGTCCTAAGTCTCTGCTCCTTCTATCACTTTGTGACTGTCTTCCTTAGATCAAAGAATAATGGTAATGGAAACTTCCACACCAGGGATTTTAGAACAAGTGAGAAAAACTTGGATGGCCTCCGATGAGGAAAAACAATTGTCTGATATGAAGCTGAGATGATGATTATAAGACAGGAGAGAAATAGAAATAATTAAAACATTCCTCTTTTTTGGAAAGAAATACTGGGGCATAATGAAAGAGGGAAAGGCAAATGGCCCCAGCAGCTTGGATCATTCCAAAGGGGAAAGGAGAGTGGGGGAGGAGGGAAGTTAGAGGTGCAGAGAGATCAACTGACTCTCACTACTTACAGGGTCAGGCCTCCAGGGAGACAGAGAAGGGGCAGGGGCTTCTTTCTATTTAGAAACTAGATATTCCTTACTTCATTAACTCCAAAGGGAAACCTTTCCCTTCCTCAGAGGGGAAGAAAAGCCCCATCTGGGACACTCTAAAAAGGGGACAAGGTGGTCACTCAGTGCAGTGGCCATCACCAACAGAGATGGAGCCCCAGGGTCCTGGAAGGGCCCTGAGCAGAGATCCACAGAAGCCCTCAGGGGGGGGCCCTGCAATGAAAGAAAAGCGGGGATACAGACACAAGGGGGGAGGAAAATGGCAACAAAATAGAGAGAACTGGAACTCCCTGAAAAGTCCATGCTGAGGGGCAGCCTATGGGCCAACAGCCTGCTTGGGCATCGTTCCAGTTCAGGAGGAGAAGCCCTGGAACAAGTCCCAATACACCATGTCCACAAGTGCACCCCAGCAGCACAAAGCAAAGGCAGAGGTCTGCACCCTCACCAGGTACCATACACCTCCCCTCCCCCTCCTGGCCCCAGCCCCCACCTGCACTCACAGACTCAGGAGAGCAAATAAAAGGATTCTCAGACATCTTCAAACTTTCTTTTATTTCCCCTTCATATGGCCAGAACATCTCCACGTAGTCATCCTGTCCCCTAAAATCCCCCACCCAAATGTGAAGCTTAGCTGAGATTGTGGAGAAAAGCTGAAGTTTCAAGAATAATAATTAGGCTGTTTGTGCAGTCAGAAAAAGATCCCAGAGGTCAGTGCAACGTCCAAAGTGAAGGAGGGCTCATTGCCAAAGCCCTCTGGCCCTCACTGCTGGTTGTCTCTGCAGAGAGAGACAGGCAGAAAGAAAGAAGGCAGGGGAGGGAGGCCTTAGAGAACAGGGTGAGGGCCTAATGATGCTGCCCTGGACTTGGCCCAGTAGAGTCCAGGGAGGATCCCAGGGGCTGGTGCTGGGGAGAGAAGCCAGGGGTCCACAGGAACAGCACAGGGACTGGAGACTGGTTTTCTTCCTCAGGTGCGTACCGGGTAATTCTCTGAAGCTGAAGAAGGAAAGATACATTCAGAGAGATTCCCCAAGTCCCCTCTGGCCTCCAGCCTCTCTTCATTCTGAAGGGCCTGCCTCACCACCCATCCAGTGCTCAGCCCAACCTCTCACAGACCATCCTCTTTGTTTGGCCCCCTTTACCCCAGTCCCTCTCTCCTTCCAGGCCCCCAGAGTCTCACCTTTGTCAGTGAGGGAGACATCTGACTCCTGTGCACTGTCATTGCCTGGAGACAAAGGAGGAAAACGACCAAGTCAGAGACATACATCCCAGAACCATTGTATGGGAAGGGAAGGTGAGAGCAAGGGAAGGATACTGGGCTAAGCCTCTCCTCTGCCTTCTCATTGCTTAGTTCCCTAGGATGCCATGGGCTGGGCCCTTCTTTCTACCCTCCACGTCAACCCTTCACTGACCTGCAGCAGGAACATAGTCCCCTCCTTTTCCACCTGGAAAAGAAAAAAATTTCCAGTGAAGAATCCAGGAGAGGAGACCACACTAAGGTCTCAGGAGTTCACTGGTTTGTCTTGGAAACACAACAAATTACAACTGGGACTGCATCCCCATCCCCCACTCCAGTCCAGCCTCTGGATCCAAGAGGAAGAGAGAAAAGAGGCCCCCCAAATGGGCACTTCCCCACCTCCAGGCTGCCTCCCCGGGTTCACAAGGCTGGTCTACAGACACCCAGGCCCACTGGCAGAGAACCCCACATGCTTTTGTGATCTGAGTCTGAAGAAGATTCCAACTCAGCCAGTCTGTTATACCCCTGCCTGGCATCCTCCAGATAAATGGAGTTTCTATAACATAAATGGTTTTTATATCTTTATCTAGAATCTTAGGGCCCATCTGAGAGTCCCTTAGATGGAAAAGAGAGGACTTAGGGACAGAAAGAGAAGCTGTGGGTCAGGGGAAGCCAGGTTCTCCATGGTGCCTGCTCCCTAAGGACCCCCTCCCAGTCCTGCCCACCTGAAGTCTTCTTCCTCCAGAGCACAACTCCAGCAATGACTGCAGTGATGACGATGAGGACAGCAATGCCCCCCACAATGACCAGGGTGTATGAGGACTCTGGCTCTGAAATTGAAAAAGGAAGTGAGAAGCCCTGAGCCCTCTGGGTCCTGAGATTGACTAATTCCTCCCACATCGCCCCCCAGTCACTCCACCTTCCTCTGGTCTTTTGGAGGTGTGGGGAATGGCCCTTTCCCAGGCCCTCCTCACGGTCCTTACCCCACTTCAGGGTGAGGGGCTCAGGCAGTCCCTCGTGCTGAACTCGGCAGGTATATTTCTCTTCCTGGCCCGAGGTCACGTCCACACCTGCCCACTTCTGGAAAGTCCCGTCTCCCGCAGGCCTGGTCTCAATGAACTCCGTGTCCTGGAGCTGCTCCTCCCCATCCCTCAGCCAAGTCAGGGAGATGTCCTCGGGGTAGAAGTCCTGGGCCCGGCACCGCAGGGTCACCTCCCCGTGGGGGCCAGCGCGGCGGGTCACTCGGACTGCGGGCGGGTCTGGAGGCAAAGGTCAGCGGCATTTACAGGCTCTCCCCTTCACCCTCCCCTATGCCCCAGGAGGACAGGTGGGGGCCGGGGGAACATCCGCAATCCGTTCCTGGGGTACACGGGGTGCCTGGGGGTCGGGAGCCCGGGGCTGGGGCTGGAGGGTAGAAGAAGGGACGGCGGGGTCCTTGAGTGCCGCCCACACTGAGGCGGACGGGTCAGTACCTGCCCTCTTCAGCGTCTCCTCCCCCATCTCTAGGTACTTCTTCAGCCACGGCACGCACGTCTCCTCCACGTAGGCTTTATATCCCTCGGCGATGCTCCTGTCCGCCTCCCACTTGCGCTTGGTGTTCACAGCCGCGGGCACCGCCGCCCTCCACTTGGAGGCCTCCGTGTCCAGGGTGATGTAGTCTTGACCGTCGTAGGCGTGTTGTTGAAACCCGCGCTTGAAGGTGAGGTCCGGGGAGACCTCGCAGCCGAACATAATCTGGATGGTGTGGACCCCTGCCCCGCCCCCGCCCCCCAGTCAGCGGCCGGACTCTGGCTGATTCCTCGCCCCACCGTCCCCACGGGGGTCCTTCCGCTTCGCGAGTCGCCCCCATCCCCCGTGGGAGCCGCAGTGACCGTGGGACAGCTCGGACCCGGCCCTCCCACCACTCCGCTCCCGACACGTCACGCACCGCCATTGCTCTGGTTGAAGTAGCCGCGCAGGGTCTGCAGGCCCTCTAGTAAAACCTGCGCGTTCCCCCTGGAGATCCGCGTGTTCCGCTCCCAGTAGTCCGGGTCCTCCTGATCCATCCGCTCCATCCACGAAGCCCGCGGCTCCTCTCTCTGACTTGCACTGGCGCTGTCGAAGCGCACGAACTGCTGATCGTCTACGTAGCCCACAGAGATATACCGCGGCTCCGCAAGCTCGGGCGAGGCCATCGCGGTGTCGAAATACCTGAGGGAGTGGGAGCCTGGACGTGGGGACCAGGGCCAGGGTCAGGGGTCAGGGTGGTGACTGTGTAGACCCGGCCCCGGCGGGTCCTGTCTCCACCCAAGACGGAGGTGTGGTCCTTGACCCTGTGCCGACTGGGGCGTGAGCCCGGACTCCTAACCCCCGGTATCCGGAGCCCTCTGCCCCTGATGCTGATGGCGCACCGTGCCAGGAGGTAATAATTCTCGGCACTGTAGTGTTTTGAAATCAGCAAAACTCCTTCTCTCACAACAACCTAGGGAAGTCCTCGTGCCCCTTCATCTCGACCAAGCACTCCCCCCCCCCGGTTCGGGTCCCTGGTCTCTCACACTTCTCATCCCCAGCCCCCCACCTTGGGTCCTCACCTGCCCCCGGCCTCATCTCCCCCCCCCACCTCCCGCCACCATCCTCCGTGAAGATCTTTAACAAGGCTGCTCCTGGTTCTCTGTCCTCGACCTTGTGTGTGTGTGTGTGGGCCCGACAGCTCTGCTCCTTAGCGCCCCAAGACTGTGCCACCCATTCTCCCTCCTGCCTCTCCTGCCTCAGCGCCCCTCGTCCTCACCCCTCTCCCCAGACTAAGGGAGCGACACCAACACTCCCTCCTGCCAAAGCCCAGCTAAAGGACTTGTCCCCGAGTCTCTCTCTCTCTCTCTCTCTCTCTCTCTCTCTCTCTCTCTCTCTCTCTCTCTCTCTCTCTCCTCTCTCTCTCTCACACACACACACACACACACACACAAACACACACATACAGAGGCACGCTTATTCCTCGCTTCTTCCTTTCAGTGTCACCCTGACTTCTTCACCTGACATTAAGGAGCTGGTGCCCTGCAAGCTCACCCTGGGCTGGTCTCAGAGGAGCTTTCTGTAGCCAAAGCCCATCCCACCACATCTCGACCCCGGGATGCTGTGCCCAGTCTCCACGCCGCCGGTTAATACTATTCTCTACTTACCTGCCCAGGTCTCGGGCAGGGCCAGGGTCCCCAACAAAAACAAAGAGCACAGATAACGCTCCATGGTGCATAGAGAGAACCGAGACCAATCTGCCCTGGGTTTATACAGGGGCGAATCCCTAACTTGTGGTTGGCTTCGCAGAGCCTCTACCAGCCAATAGCAAACGAAAGACTAGAAACGTCATTGGTGACTGGGCAGAATGAGCCCTCACAGGTTAGGAAACAAAAACCGAGACTGACTCGGAGGAAATCCCCAGTGTTATTCCCAGAACAGCCTCGGAATCTTTGGAGCGCCCTAGTCTCCCTCCCTCCCATCATCACTCCAGGAACACCCGGCTCTTGTGCTCCCAGCTTGAACCAGAGAAAGAGAAGATCTCAGCCCTTAACCCTCCTCTGCTGGCCTTCCAACCCAGAGCCCTCCTCAGCGTGACCCTTTCCTCTCCTTAGAAGTGAGGAAGACAATGTCCCTTGCCTAAATTGAAGGTGTCTGAGGAGTGAAGAAATCTGCAGACTGATTGGTATAGGGGTGTGTTGCCACCTCCGTTTTAATGACCTCCATCCCAGTCTTGTAACCTTCCCAGGCTGTATAGATAAGCAGGCAAGGGATGCAAGAGTAATGAGTGAATTAGAGTCCAATAAATGGAATTTGGAATCGGAGTAGAAGACTTTGTCTAACAAAAAACGGGACAGCTAGGTCCCCCAATGGTTAGAGCTCAGGGCCTGAAGTCAGGAAGACCTGAGTTCCAATCCAGGCCTCAGACATTTACTAGCTGTGTGACCCTGGACAAGTCACTTAACCCTGTTAGCCTCAATTTCCTCCTCTGAAAAATGAGCTGGAAAAGGAAATGGCAAACCACTCCAATATCTTTGCTAAGAAATGAGGTCACAGAGTCAGATACAACTCAAAACAACAAAAGGAAACAACTTAATAAAATGGAGAGGAGTACTATTTCAGCCTAAGGTTGGCTCTGAACTGCCTGAAATATTAAGGTGTGACTCTCCAGTAACCTTTTTTTTTTCGGAAACCTGGGCACATTTGGTGGAATTTTCCCTCTTTCTTGTGTCATCACCCCATTTAGGAAACTATTAGGCTCCAAATTTTAAAGAGAGTATAAAGTTACCTCTGGAAAGGATCTTAGAGATAATGTCCTTCATTTTGCAGAGCAGGAAACTGAAGGACAACAATGCTGAGAGATTTTTCCAAGCTCATGAAGATAGGAAGTAGTAAAATTGAGATTTGCACCTCCATTCTATCATTGCAAACTCAATCCTCTTTCCTGAAACCCAGGCTGGTCTAGAGATCCTGATCAAAGTCCTGAATGAGCCTCCTCTGGTGAAGGACACCTGGAGCCTTCAAGGCATGTTGGAGTCAGCACTGTGTGGAAAGACAAGGAAAGAGCGGAATAATTCTGTTTATCATTTTCTGCTACCAGACCCTTCAGACCAAGTCCTCTCCCATCTTTCTTCTTTTGATTTCAATGGAACTTAAAAAAATTTCTCCTAAAAGCCCCAACCCTTGTCATTTCCCACTGTGCTTCCCTTCTGCACAGCACAGCTGTCTGATGCACCATTTTTATAGGGCAGAGGTAGACAAGTCTTGAGATTTTTCCATCCTTTCAGCAACATGTCCCCTGTGAAAGGCTGGGATGCTGCCTGCTCAGTCCTTCTCTCCCTCAGCTGCTAACACTGTCCTCTCTCACAATCTTTCATGTTCTCTTTCCCCTGCCCTAGACTTCTCTAAGCAGTAGTTCTGCAAGACCCTGACTTGGTGAGGCCCCAGCTGGAGGATTATGTTCAGTCTGGGCTACCACATTTTAGAAAAGGTGTGTATAGTGTGTCCAGAGAAATGTATCCAGATGACAGGGACCAGAATGTGGAGAAGACCAGAGAACTGGCTATGGAGTATTGGGTGAAGGAATTGGGAGAAGAGAAGATACTAAGGGGAGAAGACGGTTGTCTTCAAGTATTTGAAGAATTGTTTGGGTGAATCCAACAGGGCACAAGTAGAACCTGAGTGAATATTGCAGACAGGCTCATTTCACCTAGGGATTAGGTCTGTCTAAACTTGCAATGGTGCTTCCCCCTCCTTGGATGGAGGTCCTCTGGCAGGGACTCAATGACCACATGGTTAAGATATCAAAGGGATTGTTGTTCAGATGGGAGCTGGAGTAGATACCTAAGGCACCTGGGAACTCTTAGTCTCTGATTCTGAGTTATCAGCCCCAACCATCAGCATCCATGCCTGCAAGGGAAAAGGCCATTTCCTCTCCTCAGTCATTCAGATACGAGAAGGAGAGAGAAGGAGAAAATACCTAGGACCCAAAGCCTATATATTCCTCTTGTTTAGTATGAGTTTTAATATAGCGTTAAGTCTCCAGGTTTCAGGGCACAAGGAGGGGTGAAATGCAGTGACCTTAGCTATGTTAACCGGAGGGATGCAGGAAGCCATTCTAGGCATTGTAGGCCCTGGGCCCTAGATGGTGCTTCCCAAAAGAAAGCAGTAAGAAGCAGAGTCCAGCAAGAGCTGAGAGAGAGACGGAAGGGGAGAGAGAGAGAGAGAAAGAGAGAGGGGGGAAGGAGGGAGAGAAACAAAGAGAAGGACACAGAGACAAACTCAGAGAGATGGGGAGGAAGGGGGAAGTGAAGGAGACGCAGAGACAGGGTGGGAGAGAAAGGAAGACAGAAGCAGAGAGAGATGGAGAGAGACAGAGAGAAGTAGAGGGAGGGATGGAGAGAGATGAGGGAAATATGGAGATGGGGAGAGAAGAGGGAGAGCCAAAGATTTCTGACATGGAGTGAAACAGCTGGAAAACAGCTGCATAAGGACGGAAGCCTGGGCTAGTCATTGATTTGGCTCTAACGAAAAGGACGGCAGGGACAGAGTGAAAAGGCAACCTAAAAGAGGCATCTGAGATTAGAGAAAATGCTCTGTCCACCTCCAGCAGTTCAGGATTGGCAGGAAAGACTGCTCTCTGGCGCCACCTACAGGGTTTATGGGGAAGAAAGGACCAGGCTCATGTGTTAAGAATTCCAGACTGTCCAGAGAAGAAAATGACCAATGTTGATAGGCTGCAGGAAGACAGGCCCCTTGGTGCCCTTTGGATGAGACTACGAATTGGCCCAGTCATCATTGGAAGCAGTTTGGGACTGTGCCTCCAAAGTGATTCTATTGTGCGTGATGCCCTTTTACCCAGCAGGACCATATCTAGGTCTCTACCCCAAAGGGATCAAAGAAAAAGGAAAAGGTTAAACAGATGTCTCATTCTCTCTCTCTCTCTCTCTCTCTCTCTCTCTCTCTCTCTCTCTCTCTCCATATATATATATATATGTATATGTATATGTATATGTATATGTATATGTATATGTATATGTATATGTATATGTATATGTATATGTATATGTATATGTGTATGTATATGTATGTGCACATATATACATACATACATGCACATATTTTAATTATAACACTTTTTTTTGTAATGGCAAAGAACTGGAAACTGAAGTAGTACACAACTGTTTCATACTGCCTAAATGTATTTTGGTGTGAATGGTGATGAAAGAGATGGTTTCAGAGAAACCAGGGAAGCCTTGTATGAATTGATGCAGAGCGAAATAAGCAGAACCAGAACAATTTATACAAGAACAATGTTGTAAAAATGAACAATTTTGAAGACCTTACAAATTGCAATAAACACAAAGACCAGCCCTGATTCCAGTGGACAAATAATGGAGAATGCTACCCACCTCAAATGACTGACTAAATCTTCAGAATGAGACACATCTTTGGACATCTCCAATATGGGAAATTGTTTGTGCTTGACTTGCATCTGTTTATTACAAGGGCTTTTTTTTCATATGTGGGAGAGGGTTGAGTGAGGGGAGGTGGGAGGAAGAAAAAACAAATTCTTGATTAGTGAAATAAGTTGTATTTTAAAATTTTAATTAAAAAGATAATTGAAATATAATTTAATTTTTAAAAGACAAAATCTATACTTAAGAAAGTGGTTACAAGGACTGGTGTACCATGGCTTTTTTAGGCACAAGGATCCCGAAATATATTAAGAGAGAGACTCTGGGAGGCTTTATGTGGCTGACTAGGGTATATTGTTGGCAGAGCTTTCTGAGCAAAAGAGATACATAGAGTTCAAGAGCACTGAAGACCTCCATCTTGAGAGAGAGAAACACATGATATCTTCCTAAGCCCTACAGCCAAGGACAGAAAGAACCAATAAGATAGGAAGGATGACTGCACTGCTTGGGCATCTCTACCTCTGGGTCTCCACCATGGGCCTCTAGGAGCATTTCACTCACTCCTCTGCATATGTGGGCCAAGTGCTACCTGGTGGCATATTGCTTTACCTGGAAAGCTTTCCAGTCTTTCCTAGTGGAAAGGATTGGGAGGACATTATTCCTATAGAAACAATTCAGACTTATAAACAGCTTACTTTGGAGGGGAGGCAATTGGGGTAACTGTTTGACTCACTTAGTAACAACTAGTTGACAACTTGACTGAAACAGACAACAACTTGACAACTAGTAAATGTCAAGTGTTTGAGCTTGGATTTGAACTCAGGTCCTCCTGACTCTAGGCCTGGTATTCTATCCACTTTGACTCCTAGCTGCCCTGAACAGTTTACTTGTAAGTAAACTTAAAGGACCCACACTAAATCTTAGGTGCCTTGCTCCTTGATCTGTCCTCATAATCTGTCACTTTGCCTCATGTTTCTTTGGATCTTTAGCTATTTCACCATGATCTTGTTCTGTTTTCTTCATTCCTCCTGCTAGCATGCCTGCCAGCAAAATCATTCAGCTTGGTACCAATCACACTCTGTTTATATTTCAACTCATTTTTCTACATGAGTTTATAAATGGCTTTGTTTCCTGATTTCTAGAGATTTCCTAGCTGTTCCTAGGATGTAATTACTACCTTATTCAAAGAATCCATCATAGAATCAGAGTTGGAAGTCACCTGAATAGTCACCTGAATTTAGTCCAACCTGACCCCCACATAGCCTTTTAATAATTCCCTTTTTTAAAAATTAACTAATTTATTTTTAGTTTCCAACATTCACTTCCACAAGATTTTTAGTTCCAAATTTCTCCTCATC